CTAATGTCAAGTGTGACAACTAAACTATAATTTAATTGGTAGATTTTTTTGAAAAGAATTTAATTGGTTTGGAATCCGACTGTAGCAGCCAATAAATATAAATCTTTTGTTTTTAAAATGCCACATAAACAACATGTATAGTAGTCTGTGTTTTTGAGAATGATTTATATCTTTATTTGGGAATAATAATCTATTTTAGGGAATAGATACAGAGCACCTTCATTATTAAAGTTTTAGTACAGTATGTTTATTGTTTACTTTTAAAATCATCAACAACAGTTTATTTTATGGGAAACTTGACTTGTTTATATGTTAGTTTAATTTGTTTACGTGAAATTATAATAGGTCATTTTTTTTAAATAACTTTACTAATGAAATAACATCTTTGAAATAGTTTTTTTTAACATGTTCATTTGTTGATTTAATTGTTTAATTTAAAATAACAAACAAGTGATATTTTGATTGAATAAATTATTTATCTAATATATTAAATAATATAATAATAATAATAATAATAATAATAATAATAATGACGGTTATTCAGACAAGCAGTAAAATTCCATAATTATATAAAAAGGATGGAAAAAAGCACACAAAAAGCTAAACAATCAAGATTCCATGAAAGAATTTACTATAAGAATTTCTGGAAATTTAGCAAAATGTGTGTCAATTGAAAAATCGGCGAAAAACTGACCTATCCAACATTTACAGTGGAACATGCCAATGACTTTTACCATCAACAATATAGCACTGCAAAAAGAATAGACATTGGAAAACTAGGATGGTTCCCTCCAAAGCCGACTATTACTAACTCACCTTTCAGCCTCGATCCTGTCCGACCACGTGACATCAAAAGCATTCTGAATTATAAAAAGCCGACATCTGCCCCTGGTATTGACGGGATAACCTATGGAATACTGCAGAAACTACAGACCACTTCTTAGCCACCTTATTCAGTAAACTGTTAGTTACCGGAGACCCGCCTCCTAGTTGGTCTTCAAGTTCAGTAACCTTGATTCACAAAGACGGCGACACAAATATTCCATCCAACTTCAACTTTTCCATCAAATTCTTGCCGATCGACTTGCTGAATTCTTACTAGCCAATAGAATAATTGATTCAGAAACACAGAAAGCATTCTTAAAAGGTATAAACGGCTGTTTAGAACACACCATCGTGATGAATGAACTACTATCTGATGCCAGGAACCAGAAGAAAACTCTACATGTGACATTTTATGATCTCGCAGACGCCTTCGGATCTGTCGAACAGTGCACGATCTGATCCATTATACATTGGAACGTAATAACGTTCCGCCTATAATTTGCAATTATATTAAACAATTGTATAGTAGATTAAATGGTATTGTAAGAGGGCCTGGCTGGGAATCAAAATGTTTCTCCTTTAAGAGAGGAGTTTTTCAAGGGGATCATTTGTCCCCAATTATTTTCCTTATGTCATTCAATCCCATTTTAGAAATGTTAAAATCGAAAGAGGAAAACCACGGGTATGACCTTAAGGGTGTCAAGTATATCACGCTCCCTTTTGCTGACGATTTTTGCCAAATTACTAGGAATAAAAAGACACATCAGAGCATCATGACCCAAATGAATAACCTAACTATGTCAATGAACCTTGCCCTCAAGCCAGTAAAGTGTAAATCCCTATCAATACGAGGAGGAAGATCTGATGAGATTGAATTCTCACTAGATACAAACGTTCTGAAAACCCTTAAAGACACGCCAGAAAAGTTTCTCGGGTGTTTGATTCATTTTACTGGGAAATCAAGCGACCGATTCGAAGCTATAAAAAATAAAATCAGTAAAATAATTAGTAATATTGATAAATCACAAATTAGGAACGAATTCAAATTAAGGGTATATTTGTAATATGCCATTCCGTCTTTAAGATACACGTTGACAGTGCATGGATTATCTGATACAAAAAAACTTAAAATTCTCGATCACATTCACACAAATACCATAAAAAACTGGCTTAATATTGGAAAATATGGTTCAACACTGGCTATCTTGTTCAGCCCAGATGGTCTCAATTTCCCAAGAATCTCTGACTTATATCTTGAGTCCTATACATTGGCATTCGCCAGGTGCATGGCAAAAGCGGATAATCGGGTAATCCATGCACTGTCATCTAAGCTAGAAAGGGAATCGAAATGGACACGTAAGAACAAAAATAATGGTTCAAACCAATGGGAAGCCGTTTATGCTAGGGCTTTAGAAAGTAGTGATAACAGGACATGGTCAAAAACAAAACCTGCTGTAAAAGAAATTTTACATGACTGAAAAACTTTTTGGAGTAATTATATACAACCCTTAATTCAACAGGGCCAGTTACTTAAAATAATTATGCTAAACGAATGGGATCTAACATGGAGAGCTAACATCTTTAGTTTACCCAGAGGGGTCTTTAGCTTTGCTGTAAAAGCCTCGATTGACTTCCTGCAAACTCTTTCCAACCTCTGTAAATGGGGTAAAAAAACAACTGAATCTTGCAAACTTTGCGGAGGTAGAGAAACTCTACAACACGTTCTCAACTCATGTCCAGTTGCACTGGACCAATGGAGGTTTACCTGGAGGCATGATTGCATTATAAACATCCTTATAAAAGCCTTCCAAGAACATAGAAAGTTTGAAAATATCCATGCGGATCTAGCTGGATACTCAATATCAGGGGGAACTATCCCACCCAATATTCTTGTAACCAATAAAAAACCTGATATCACTATTGTCAATAATAAATGTATCGAACTATATGAACTTACTGTACCACTGGAACCCAATATTCTAAATATGTGGAACTTGTTGGGGATATCCAAGATAAGGGGTACCAATGCAAAATAGTATGTTTGGAAATAGGAAGCAGGGGGGTTATATCAAAGGAAAATGAAATGCACCTTAAACTCATCTCAATTTAAGAATTTGAAAAAAAAACTTTATATAATAGGCTCTGGCATGTAGTTATACAATATGGAACGCCAGGTTTAATCAAATATGGGATAATTGTAAATTTTTGGAGTAAGTTGATGAACTTCCTTTTTGTTCTCGTTGCTTTTCTTTTGTCCTGCCTCGTTTGAATTCCAAAATTTGGACCTGGAATGAATGTATACTTTCGTTTGTGAAATTTTAAAAATTGTATTGAATAAAGAATGATTGAATATATAATAATAAAGCAAGAGAGTGATTCAAACCCCATACAATATTTCCACATACTGTGTTTCGTGCACCTTTACCGATCGGCTACACTTCACCTGGTAAGTATCGGGGAGATGTCTCCCTGGAAATATTAACCCCTACGCAACAACAGCAACCAGCAGATCGGGTGAATCGAATACATACATAGATAAGGTGCAACAGGGTGAGAGTTTGTAATCTCACGTTATCTTGCTGTGTTTTATTGAGTTTTTAATTGTTGGGTTTGTCTTTTGTTTGTTGAGTTTGTCCTTTATTTGTTGAGGTTTGTAATTTGACCCTAATGTCCGCCCATAGAACACATGGTACCTTAATAACCTGACTTGTATAGTATTTGACCTCTTTATTTGATGGTCTTTGAGGTACACATTCTGGCAATTTTCCCATAGCAACAGCAGAAATTTTTAGCAACAGCGACCACCATGTCACACATTTTCAGTGTGTAGATTTATTCTGGTTGGTTGACCAAAATTACATGTAAGTTTACACTGCTTTGTCAATATTTGGGATTGTACATCTATTATTGTCCATATTCTTTCACCAAGAGCCTATGAATATAGAAAATAGTCCTGTATTACTTAGTAACTGTAGAAATGTGTTGAAAGATAAACAACTTTAGTATTGGCCTTTCATGTTTTGATTGTAATAATTTTTTTTTCAGACCTCAATCTCAGAAATCAGAAGAAGTTGTAGCAATGTCAAACCAGAAGGTGAATCTCCACATAAAAGTTAAGGTTGAACCTTGTTAGTTCTATTATTGTTTCCATTCCCATTGAAACAGTAGGTTCATTATTATCATGTCTAAACTGTGGGTTTTTACTATAATCTATGTCCGATCGGTAACAGTGCTGGATTCAAGGGGTGGAGTCAAGCTGGACCGGGACTTCTAAATTTTCAAAAACATTTAAAAAAAAAAGGGGGAAAAAAAATTATAGGCCTATTCAAAATCAAGACTGTAGAGGTGCCATAAGCATAAATTTTCTTACCTTATGCCACAGCCATGGTGGAGTGGAGGTTGTCTAGAACTTGTTTGTTTTGTTTAATTTATTTCTCCACACACATGAACATAAGAACATAACTTCCATCTTTGAAAGTCCCTCCCTGGGCCGCTCTCCGAATTTTTTGGGTCTGCCATGGGTTTTAGTAATATTTGGGAATTGAATTCAGTTTCAGTGAGATTTCATAGCCATTTAATTTGTGTATAATTAATGTTGGAGCCGGATTCATTTACTGACATTACCATAATTAGTAGCAGCTGTGTAGTATACATTTTTAATTTTTTTAATTACAATTTTGGTATCACATCAATTCCAGGCACCACCAACCTACAGCTAAAATTATAATGAATAGAGAACCCCAAAAAATGCAATATCATATTGATTGACTCACACTATCATAACAGCCCAGCTCTAAGGAGACACCCTTATTAACACTTTTTCGGCCACAAAATGAGGGAAAATAGAGCTTTTAACAATGGCCAACCCGTATTCAGGGGACACCCATATTATAAATGGATGCTTTTTGGTCCCAAATGTGTGCACTTCATAGGTATTCTACTGTATTTTTATATTTATTAATCAGGTTTGGCTATTTAAGCCTGGCATACACAAAGCTTAGACTAGTGTCTGCATACATAGTGTATTACACTATTTTGTTGTTTCATTTCCAATAAACAAGTACGTAGTACCAGTATATCACAGAAGGTATAAATGTATACCTACTTGAGGTATATTATACATGATCTTTTTTGGAAAATCATTTGAATGTCCATAGAGGAGACACTCTATATGTATGGAAAAACATTCAAGGATACATACGGGAGAGACAGCATATGAATGTGAACATTGTGGAAAGTCATTTATGTATAGTGATGGTTATAAAATACATATGAGGAAACATACGGGAGAGACGCCATATGAATGTGAACATTGTGGGAGGAAATTTACACGTAGCGATGGTTATAAAATACATATGAGGAAACATACGGGAGAGACACCATATGAATGTGAACATTGTGGGAGGAAATTTAATCAAGGTGGTCATTTGAAAAAACATCTCAGGATAAACACAGGAGTAAAGCCATATGCATGTGAGCATTGTGGAAAGAAAGAAATTTTATCAAATTTCACATTTAAAAAGACATTTGACTGGTCATGCAGGACAGCTAATCTATGAATGTTAATATTGTGGAAAATTCTTTAGTCGTATAGACATCTTAAAAATTCATTTAAAGACACATACAAGAGAGACACCATATGAATGTAGTTGTGGAAAGAAATGTATGCGTAATGACGTTTTTAAAATACATATGAGGAAACATACAGGAGAGACTCCATATGATTGTAAACAATGTGGGAAGAAGTCCACAATACAATACAATACAAGACAAGACAATAGTAATTATAAAAGCCATTTGAAGGTACATACAGAAGAGAGACCATACAAGTGTGAACATTGTGGAAAGAATTTTAAATACAGTGGCTATTTTAAAATACATTTGAGGTTACATACAGGAGAGAAGCCATATAAATGTGAACATTGTGGTTTGAAATTTAATCAAAAAGGTGAATTAAATAGCCATTTGAAAAACATTAAGAGAGAAGAAATATGAATGTGAACATTGTTTAAAGAAATTTAAAGACAATCACAATATGAAAAGCCATTTAAAGGTACATAGAGTAAAAGACACCAAATGAATGTGAATATTGTGGAAAGAAGTTTAAGATTTAAAAAGACATTTGAAGATTCATACAGGAGAGACTGCAGATAAATGTGAAAATTGTGGAAAGAAATTGAAAGAAAATAGCGATTTTTAAAGACATTTGATGGTACATTCAGGAGAAAGACCGTATAAATGTGACCATTGTGAAAAGAGATTTTAGCGTAAAGATGTTTTAAAAAAACATTTGATGATGCATACAGGAAAGATGCAAATAAAATGTGAAAAATGTGGAAATAAATTTAAAGACAATAGTAATTTTAAAAGGCATTTGAAGTTAATTGAGGAAAGAGATTATACAAATGTGAACATTGTGGAAAGAATTTTAAATACAATGACAATTCCAAAATACATTTGATGTTACATACAGGAGGAAAATCAAATGCGAACATAGTGGATTGAAATTTAATTTTTAAAAAAAAAGACGTGTTGTTAAAAAGTTATTTGGTGTCTCTGAATACAGGAGAAAAAGTGTGACAGAAATCTAAAGAAAATAGCAACAGTATTCCTGAAATACACTTGAGGTTTACACGGAGAGAAGTAATATACTGTACATGTGGACATTGGGGAGTTAATCAAAACCATTTTAAAAGCCATAAAAAACAACAATTGTGGTGGGAAGAATTTAAAACAATAAGAATTTGAAAATCATTTGATGGACAGATACCATGAATGTGAATACTGTGGAAATTATTGATGTTTAAAATGTCATACAAATGAATGTTATGAGTGTAATGGGAAGAATATTTTTAGGAGTTAAATAATGATTGACTGTCCCATTCAACGAGGCAGAGCACGTTGCACTCATAAGCATTCATTATTTGTATAATACACACCTAATCCAGATCCTTGTCATTTGATATGTTGTGGGGAACATAAGTTATGTGTACCTTTCTTCACAGTGGAACAGTCATCTCCTTTCTTTTGAGAAATTGTAGTTTAGGTGTGTTATAAAAGGATACATTCACATGAGTGATAAATCATTAATTAAAATTTATTTATT